GGAGCGACTCTAGGTCTATGAGCTTGTTCCTCATAAGCATAGTTAATGTTCTGAAATTCCCATTCTTCACAATGTTACCCATAATTTCTTTGCATAGTTAATAAAATATAGTAAATACCTTTCTTGTATTCTGTGTTTTCAGCCACAGTCATTCTGACCTCAGCAATCACCTCTTTCCACATCCTCTTCTGAATCTGGCTTGAATTTTTTGGGGCCTTCCCACCCCCTATTGATGATGTTGCTGATTGATGCAACCATTTAAAAATGATGTTCAGCAAATTATTGCTTGCTCGTGACATTGGTGGTGGTGGTGGTGTGCCGTGGAGTTCGTTCTGGCTTACAGTGACTACAAATAGGATTTCTGAGACTGTAAATCTTTATGGGATAAGAAAGCTTCATTTTTCTCGCACAGAACACCTAGTAGATTCAAACTACTGACCTGGAGGCTAGCAGCATGACTATGCTACCAGAGCTCTTTATGACATTAGTGATATTATTTAATAATTTCCACATACTGTAATATTACTTTTTATTTATTTATTTATTTTTAAATGGGGACATATACAAGTTCCTTTCAGTTGGTTGGTCAGATGACTTCCAAATTTCTTGGCATAGACTACTGAGTTCTTCTAGCGGTGCATTTCTTCAAACACTTCAGTTGGTATTCCTTCAATTCCTGAAACCTTGTTATTCACTAATATCTTCAGTGCAGCCAAGACTTCATCCTTCAATATCATCAGTTCATGACCATATGTTACCTGAAATGGTTGAAAGTCAACTAATTAAAAAAAAATAAAAAATAGCACAGTGACTGTGTGTTTCTTCCATTTTCTGCTGATGCTTTCTGCATTGTTTAATATTTTGCCCATAGAAATCTTTCACTATTGCAGATTGAGGCTCAAAATTTTTCTTGAGTTCTTTTAGCTTTTCACAGTGAATGCAGCCTTAGCCAGGCATAATGTAACAGGAAGTGCATCAGTCTCTTAACCATAATCATGTGTCCCTTTTTGTTGTTGTTGTCAGGTGCCATCGAGTCGGAACTGACTCATGGCGACCTCATGCACAGCAGAACAAAACAATGTCTGATCCTGGGCCAACCTCACTACTGCTGCTACACTTGACACCATCAATGATGCCACCTGGCTGATCCATCTCATTGGGGGTCTTCCTCTTTTTCTCTGACCCTCCACCTTACCCAGCATGACATCCTTCTCCAGCGATTGTTCTCTCTGGACAATGTGTCCAAAGTAGGAGAGACGAAGCTTAGCCATCCTGGCCTCCAAGGAGCACTCTGGTTGTACTGCTTCCAAACAGATCTATTGGTTCTTTTGGCAGTCCATGGCACTTTCAGTATTCTCCTCCAACACCACAACTCAAAGGCATCAATTCTTCTATGATCTTCCTTATTCACTGTCCAGCTTTCACATCCATATGAGGTTATTGAAAATACCATGGCTTGGGTCAGGCACACCTTAGTCCTCAAGCTGACGTCTCTGCTCTTCAGTACTTTAAAAAGTTCCTGTGCAGCACATTTTCTCAATGCAATACGTCTTCTGATCTCTTGACTGCTGCTTCCTCGAGTGTTGATAGTTGATCCAAGAAGAATGAAGTCCTTGACAACTTCAATCTTTTCTCCATTGATAAGAATGTTGTTTATTGGTCCAATAGTAAGGATTTTTGTTTTCTTAATATTGAGATGTAATCCATATCGAAGGCTGCGCTCTGTGATCTTCATAAGTATATGTTTCAAGTCCTCTTCACTTTCAGCAAGCAAGGTTGTATCATCAGCATATCACAGGTTATTAATGAGTCTTCCACCAATCCTGACACCTCGTTTTTCTTCATAGAACCCAGCTTCTCGTATTATTTGCTCAGCATACAAATTGAACAAGTATGGTGAAAGAACACAACCCTGTCTCACACCTTTCCCAATTTTAAAACATTCAGTGTTCCCATGCTCTGTTCAAACAACTGCTTCTTGTGTCCCTTTTACAAAGAAGATAATTGAGAGGGAGAGATTGTAAGTGACTCACCTGTTGATGCAGGTATAGTTTGTGACAGGTAAGAACAGAATTTGGATCTCCTGTTTTGAAGCCCATAGTTCGTTTTATTAACCACTTTCTATAGTTCTGGTAACGTAGTGGTTACGAGTAGGCTGCCAACCTCAAGGTCGGGAGTTCGAAACTACCAGCTGTTCCACGGGAGAAAGATGAGGTGTTCTGCTCCCGTAAAGATTTACAGCCTCCAAAACCCTGTGCAGGGTCACTATGAGTCGGAACCGACTCCACGGTACTTAACAACAACAAAATAGATATAAATGGAGTCCTGGTGTAGCATTGCAGATTAATGCCAAAACTGATTTTAGCAGTTCAAACTCACCAGATATTCCTTGGAAACCCTATACAAGGTCACTATGAGTTAGAACAAACTCAACAGCACTTAACAACAACAACAATAGACATAAAGCATGAAGGTAAAAGCAAAGATCCCAATGCCAGACCTTCCTGTATTCAAACCTTACCAGCTATGTGATCTTGAGGAAGTTACTCAATCTCTCATACATGACTCATTTGTAAAATAGAGATGATGATAATAAAGCTAATTTCAAGTGTAGTAGCCAAGATAAATTTGTTTAATATATTTAAAAATCTTGTTGTTTTCAGATGTCTTCAAATCAGTTTGGAATCATAGCAACCTTATGTACAACATAATGAAACAATACCTGGTCTTGCATCCGTCTCACAAGCACTGCTGTGTCTGAACCCATTGTTGTAGACACTGTGTCAATATATCTTGTTGAGGGTCTTCCTCTTTTTTGTTGTCACTTGGCTTTACCAAAGGTCCCCTGGTAGTATAGTGGATTAAGCATTAAATTGCTAAAGCCAAGTTCAGCAGTTTAAGTCCACCAAGCATTCCACAGGAGAATGATGAGGCTTTCTGTTTACATCAAAAGTTACAGCCTTGGAAACCCTATACAGGGTCACTATGAGTCAGAAATGACTCAACAGCACATCACCACTAATATCACCACTTACTTTACCAAGCACAATGATGTACTTCTCCGGAGCCTAGTCTCTCCCGAGAACATGATCAAGGTCTGTGACATGAAACCTCACCATTGTTGCTTCTAAGGAACATTCTTCAAGAGAGCTGTGCTAGTTTTTCTGGCAGTCCATGAACTATTCAATAGTCTTCACTAGTGCCGTAATTCACAGACATACATTCTTCTTCATTCTTTCTTATTAAAAGACTTAACATGAAATAAGCACCATGTTGTTGCTGCTAGGTGTTGTTGAGTCAGAACTGACTCATAGAAAATTATTGCAAATGGACAAAACACTGCCCGGTTATCTTCACAATTCATGATCAATTTGAGCCATAGTTGTGTTTAATATTACAACTGTAAGTACACTGTGTAGTATAATACTAAAAGGGTGTTAATTAGCATTCAAAATAAATAGAATTATTCTTATATGTTTTTTCTAAGATGTTTCAAGAAAATCTAAATTTCTCGTTTTATTGATCTGAAGATAAAAGGAAAAAAATAGGAAAACCCGTTATAACTGTTCTACAAATTAAGAACAATTTGAATCTGTCAACCACATGGCTTACTATAGCAGAACTGAAGAGGATTGCACTACATCACCGTAAAGAACATATCAATATTTGTCTTAAAGTACAACACTATCAGTGACAGGATAATATCCATGCACCTACAAAGAAGCCCAGTTAATACCACTACTATTCAAATTTATGCATCAACCACTAAAGCCAATGATGATGAAATTGAAGAATTCTACCAATTTCTTCAATCTGAAATTGATCAAACCTGCAACCAACATGTATCCATAATAACTGGTGATTGGAGTGCAAACGTTAGAAACAAAGAAGGATCAGCCATTAGAATATATAGCCTTGGTAATAGAAACAATGCTGGGGATCACATGATAGAATTTTGCAAAACCAATGACTTCTTCATTGCAAATACATTTTTTTTTAAGCAACACAAAAGAAAAGTATATTCATGGCCAACACCTAATGGAATATATGGAAATCAAATGGACTGCATCTGTAGAAAGAGATAGTATAAAAGCTTCATAACATCAGTCAAAACAAGGCCAGCACAGACTGTAGAACAGACCATCAATTCTTCATATGCAAGTTCAGGCTGAAGTTGAAGAGTCAACATATGACCTTGAACACATTCTACCTGAATTTAGAGATCATCTCAAGAACAGATTTAACACATTAAACACTAATAACTGAGACCAGAAGAGTTGTGGGATGACGTGAAGACCATCATACAAGAAGAAAGCAAAAGGTCATTAAGAAGGCAAGAAAGGAGAAAAATGAATGCCCGAGGAGACCCGGAAACAGGTTCTCCAGCATAAATGAGGAGGCAAAAAGTTGAATAGAAATTTTCAAAGGGCTGCTAAAGAAGACAAGTCAAATATTATAGAAAAATGTGCAAAGGCCTAGAGTTAGAAAACCAAAAAGGAAGAACTTTCTCAGAATTTCTTAAGCTGAGGGAACTGAAGAAAATATACAAATCTTCATTTGTAATATTGAAGGATTCTATGGGCAAAACATTGAATGATGCAGAAATCATCAAAAGAAGTTGTGAGGAATACACAGAGTCACTGTACCAAAAATAAATGGCAAGTATTTAACCACTTCAATAGGCAGCATAGGATCAACAACAAAAGATACTGTAAGAAGACATAAAAGGTGCATCGAAGGCATTGGCAAAGAACAAGCTTCCAAGAATCAAGAAATACAAGTTGAAATCTTTCAACAAACTGATGTGGAACTCAAGGCTGTCACTCATACATGCGAAGAAATTTGGAAGACAGCTGCCTGAACGACTGATTGGAAGAGATCCATATTTGTGCCTATTCCAAAGAGAGATGACCCCATGGAATGCAGAAATCATTGGGCAATATCATTAATGTCCCATGCAAATAACATTTTGCTAATGATAATTCCAAATTGATTGCAACAGTACACTGACAGGGAACTGCTAGAGGTTCAAGTCAGATTCAGACCTTGGCTGAAAGCAAAGAATATCAGAAAAATATTTATCTGTGATTTACTGACTACACAAAGGATTTTGATTATGTGGAAAGAATATTAAAAGTACCATGGACTGCCAAAAGAACGAACAAATTTGTGTTGATAGAAGTCCAAGAGTGCTCCTTAGAAGTAAGGTGGCCTGACTTCTTCTCTCATGCCTCAGACATATTGTTAATAGGGACCAGTCCCTGGAAACATCATGTTCGGTAGAATGGAGGATCAGAGAAGAAGAGAAAGGCCCCAGTGAGATGGATTGCCACAGTGGCAGCATCAACAGCCTCAGAGTAGCAATGATTGTGAGGCTGGTGCAGGGCCGGGCAGTATTTCATTTCATTGTGCACAGTGTTGCTATGAAACCACATCAACTCTACAGCACCTAACAACAACAACAAATAATAGAATAAGGCCATAAGGCCAACAAGGATGCAAGAAGTCTATTTGGGACTTCATAGCATTGTAATGCGAGGGCAGATATGAAAATCTTCCCTTGGACCTTGAGACTGAATATTCTGCACTTCCTTGTCTAGCCCAGTCTCCTTTCTGACCATAAAGCACTACACTACTAGTTTCAGAAATACTGCACTGAGTTACACAGTCCTCAGACCCTGAGGTCTTGTTCCTTAAACAGCTAAAGCAATGAGAGTGTAGATGAGGGGCCACTGAGATCTCTTTATGCTGAGTTCATATAATTTAATTTCTTATAAGAAATCCACTCCTATTAAATCATCTTTAATACTATCTCTTCCAATGTTTATGTCTTCTAATTCACTTCTTTTGGAAGAACTGTTCTAAGTCAATCTCCTTAGGAAGCAGTCTCTGAGACTCTGAGATTTACATACTGAAAAATGTGGGGAGCATTCACCAGAACTTTACCCGGGAAGGGCAAGAAAAGCAGGATTGGGCAGAGGACAAAGTTGAACTGCCATTCATTTACAACAGAGACCCCTGGTAATCTTGCAGAGAGCACTAGAGGCTGAATGGTTCTTTGGACTTGTCCCAAGTGAAGCTAGGAGGTCAGGACTTTCTAGCCTCACTTTACATGGACCAGTCCTTGGATGCAGACTGCCCCTGGAAAGAAAGCAGAGTCCTTTAGCTTCCAGCACTTCCTGGTGATGGGCACAGCTGGAAGCAGCTGAGGAAATGAGGACTTGAATACTAAAAGTGGATCTGGATCAATCCTATCCCCTCTGTACACAGGGTTGATAGGGACTGGCAACTTAGACACTAGATACCTAAAATGTGGGGAGGGGGCTACAAAGTGACTTGTTTACAAGGTTTCAGAGTGTGTAGGAGGAGGTAGTTTTCATCTTGTCTAAAGGGGTCTGGTGAAAGGAGATGGAGATAAGATTTTTATGATTCAATAGTGAATCATTGTAATCATGACTAATTGCTACTGTCTCAACTATAAAGGTAGAAGTTTTGTAACATAAAGGCTGGGCAGGGTGGGGGAGTTAATCTTACAGTCCAGGACCAGAAGACCCTAGGATCATCAAGTAAGAAGAGCATGAGCAGAATTTGAGACCCTATCCAGTGAAGCAGCAACACCAGAGATGGAA